AATTAATATATCTACATTTGTAATTTTCTTAATCTGTGACCCGTTGACCCGACGGGTCGGGTCGGGTCAACTGTTTAGAAGTTCGAGTCGGGTCGGGTCGAACCACTGACCCGACCCGACTCGTTCGGAGCTCTAGTAATAGGGTGGGATAGGATAGGGTTGATGTTAATAATATTATTATAGTACGGATCATCTATACTCGAGTTAAAATTTTTGAAATATTATGTGATCCACTCATTGGGTTTTAAAAAACCACCACCGTTCAATTCAGCTTTAAAAAGGGAGTCTATTAATCTAAAAAAAAAATTTGTCTCAAATTTTCTTTTCATGGATTTTTTAAATGTTCAGAAATGCAACATAATTTTCGTGTTATGATGCAAGTCACTTAGTCCCATAACTTTTTATTGGTTGTGTAGATTTTCAAATTCTCCAAAAATGGAAATGCAACACCCCAAAATAAATCGTGTATTTGAAGCCAAGACCTTCCTCTACAAAATCACTGAATTTACTATGTTTAGCCCTAAAATGACGTGTTACACAAAAAAAGGTAATATCAAAAATAGATGAATTGAAACAATAAAAATTTGAAAATTTCTCTTGTAATGCAAATCCTTTATCACGTGACTTTTCCAGATGAACGGGAAGAGAATTATCTATTATTAAAAAAAAAAAAAATACAAAGAACAGCTAAGTTCATTTATTTTAAATCTAATAAATAGACTATTGCATTAATCAAAGAAATATGCAATTTGCAAAATATTCTAATGAATGTTTATCAATTATTTAATAGTTTGTGTAGGAGTAATTGAAGTAAGCTTTAAGGACAAGCAAGATCTATGAACAAAATATACTAACGAAGGTTTTATCAATCATTCAATAGTTTATATAAATTTCTCTTTTATTTTAACTAATATTTAATAACATCACTATAATCATCATTGTTGTTGTTTATTGTTCTAATCATCATTTACATAGGAATAAAAAAGAAAAATTTTAATATATTTATTTAGCACTTGACATTTCAAAAATCACGGCGTGGCACAGAAAGTTGTGGGACTATGTGACTTGCACTATACAATATTTTGAATCTCACGACCAAATTTGACAATGATTTTCTTTTAATGTAATATATTCGTTAAACTTTTTTGTTGTTGTAAAGGACTTTTATTTATTAAAAAAAAAAAAAAGGGAAATAAATAGTTGTATATAGAAAAAAAGTTGTTACACGAAATTTACTTGGAATTTTCAAAATGCTAAGGCTCTGCCAATTTTTAGTTTTAAGAAAAAACCACCCGATAATTAATAATAATGTTTTGTTATATTTATCACTGCAGAAAATCATATGGATGGACGTCACGTCACACAGTTCTTCTAAATTTATACAATCTTTACCGAAAGTTATTATTAATAATCATTTTCATTTTGAAAATTTAGAATTGATCTACTTTTGCTCATAATCGATCTATTAATGTTAATTCCATTCTATAAAAGCAATAGTAATAATAAATGATAAAATATATAAATACGATTAAATTTTTTGTCTGTAGAATTTTTTAAAAAACTACGAAAATTAAAAATATTACCATTAATCTTATTAATTAATTAAAGAAAGAAATCATGAAATCAATAAAATGCTTGGCATTTATCTTATTATTTATTGTTATAAATAATAACAATATGATGACTTTAACATCAGCTCAATCTTCAAGTCTTTCTCAGGCATGTATTAATAATGGAATATCACCATTAATAAGTAATCAAGAGCTTAATACATGTATACCACTTGCATCGTTAGCGCCGGTTGCTAGTGCTGGTGGTATTCCCACCGACACCGTATTAATTCAAGCAGCCGATAAATTATGTGCTGCTGTGAAATGTTCTGACAATTTAATCACAACCGTTCGTAACAACTTTGAACAAGCATGTGCAACTGACTTGGATAACCAAGTTCCAGCAGCATTGGCAATTGATTTTATCTTCAGCTATTATCCACCAATTAGAGGTTCATTATGTTTAAAAAATTCAACTAATGGATATTGTTTTGTCGAAACTTTCGATAATGTGAATGAATACATGAAAAATAATCCTAGTGTTGCCAAATCATTATCATTTGATTCAGCATTGGATATTCTTAGCCAAGCGCCAACAAATATTGTTTGTACAACTTGCAATAAAGCAATTGCAGGCAATTTTTTCAATTATCAAGATGCCAATCCTAATACGACTAAACGATTTGCCATTCCAGTAGCTAGTGTTAAATCCGTTTTTGTAACTAAGTGTGGTACGTTAGTGATCTTTTTGAGGGAAGAATTAATTTTATAATAATCTCTAATCATTGCCAATATATATTTTTTTAGGTCCAATTACAACCTCAAGCGCAAATACAACAACCACTTCACCATCAGCAAATAATTCAAATATTATTAAATTAGATTCTGTATTATTATTATTCATCAATTCATCAGTTTTGATTTTATTATTTTCTAAAATCTTTCAATTTTAATTTTAATTTTAATTTTAATTTAATTTTAATTTAATTTTATTTTTTATTAATTAAAACTCCATCAATTAAAATAAACTATTTAAGACAGACTATTGATTTTACGATTTAGTATATTGCCAAGATATTAATTATTGAATGAAAAAGTTGTAATGGTAAAGATGATGTAATGTTGGTGTGACATTGGTAATACTTAAAAAGAGCATCAAATTTTTTTCCCCCCAAAAAAAAAAAATTAATATTACTATTAAAAAAATGACAAAATTCTTCACACGTTCTCCAATACGTTCTCAAAGTTTGCTGCGTTTATTAATTCTAATGCTGATTATTGCATTAATAAGTTTATTATTCGTTTTTTTATACACATACACATCATTATCCACTTCTGGAGCTTCTCTCACAAAACCATTAACTGATTATTTCGAAACTCCACGCGAGAAATTCTTTAGAGAAGATTACCTAGACCCAACAAAAGATCCAGAACTAACAAATTCCACCAAAAGAGCCAAAGGCGTAATTCTAATACTGGCGAGGAATGGTGAACTTGAGGGAATAAAACCTTCAATTGAACAACTTGAACGATATTGGAACAATAAATATAATTATCCATATGTATTTCTAAATGATGATGATTTCACGGAAGAATTCATTCAAGGAACATCCTCAATGATGCCAAAATCAACGGTCAAATATGGTAGAATACCAAAAGAGCATTGGAGTTATCCCGAATGGATAAATCAAACAAGGGCAGCAGAGAATAGAGAATTGTCAGCACAGAGGCATATCATTTACGGGGGATCAGAATCATATAGACATATGTGTAGATTTAATTCTGGGTTTTTCTTTAGACATGAATTGCTAAAGGATTATGATTATTATTGGAGAGTCGAGCCATATGTAAATTTTTATTGTGATGTTGATTATGATCCATTTTTATTTATGGAAAAGAATAAATTGAAATATGGATTTACAATAACTTTTCATGAATTCGAAAATACCATTCCAACACTTTGGCAGACTGTTAGACAATTTACCAAAGAGTATCCTGATTTAATACCAAAAGATAATACACTCAAATGGATTACTGATGATGATGGCGAAACTTATAATTTGTGTCATTTTTGGAGCAATTTTGAAATTGGAGATTTAAATTTTTGGAGAAGTGAAAAGTATTTGAAATTCTTTGAATATTTGGATAATGCTGGTGGATTCTTTTATGAGAGGTAAATATTGTTATTATATAGCTTTATTACTTTATTGGATTATTGAATCATAAAATTAAAAACGTTGTTCTCAATAGATGGGGGGATGCACCAGTACATTCAATAGCAGCAGCTTTATTTCTAAATAAATCTCAAATACATTTTTTTAATGATATTGGTTATAAACATAACCCATTCACCCATTGTCCCGTCAATAAAGAAATACAAGAATCCGGAAAATGTAATTGTAATGCTTCTGATAGTTTTGGTAAGAACTTTAATATAAAGATTTTTTATTTATTAGGATTATTATTGAAAATTTAAATATTAAGTTCATTTCTTTTTGGTAGATGATAATGGCTATTCCTGTACAACAAAATGGTTTGGTCTCTAATGAGGGCATTGTATATTTTATTTTGTATTTATAATTGCAAGATTTAGTTTATTTTACATGTTAATGATGAAAATAGATAGCATAGAAAAGTCAGTAATCAATCTAATTAATAAAATATAATTTAATTAAATAAAATTTGTAACTAATTTATGACTTAAAAATCTCAAAATTTGATAAATATCTAGCCCATCCCTTTCGAAAGTAACCCTGTTGTTTTCAAGTAATTCTATTTTCAAAGGTCTTGGGCCTACTTCTCCAGCTTGATTTAAGGCTGCTATTATTATATTCCCATCTAATTTATAATGCTCCTATATTGCATATATTAATTAACAGTTGGTAAAATTCATTTTGTATAATATTTTTAAATACTCCAGATTTTGACAATTTTGACCAATTGAATGAAGAAGCTCTCCTAAACATGATCATCATTTGGAACGCCATCAATATTCAAAGCTTTAGACTTGCTTTCGTTGATTTTAATAAAATCGGATACCTAACAGAAATGTTGATAAATGAATCTTCAATCAATAGAAATGATGTGCGTCTTAAATTTTAAATTTATCATTAGTTGGCCTTCTTAAAAGAAGCGAATAATTAAAATTTTTAAAAGTGGGTATTACTAAAGAATCTAAATTGCCTGTCACGCTGCTACAATGATTTATTATCGATTTGAAAATTAATATTATTTCTTTATTTTATTTTTTTGTGCTCTAATTAGTTGAGCCAAACTATGATCCTCGTTACCATTATTATGATTACCATCTAAAGAGCTATTATTGTCTACTATTAAAACTTGAATATTCTTGCAATAAAATCGCTAGCTTATCAATCTTTAGAAAATGTCAATCAAATTCATAAAAATCTTGAAAATTGCTTTAAATCTATTGACAATTCAATCCCCGATTAGCACAATTAAAGATTTCTTATAGTTGAATATTCTGAAATAAAGTTTTGTAATATATTATTTTTTTTTTGTAATTTATTATCATCAAGCTTAATTTGCATTTAAATTTAGGATGGTTAAATAATGGTGGCTGTTGTTTTTCTAATAATCCAAATTTTAATTTAATGTCATTTTTCATCACAATAAATTATCATTTGTGCTGTTATTAAGAGGGTATGAATCTCTCCATAAAGCTATATATTAACTAGAGTGCAAGAATGTAATATTTCATATTATTATTGTTTGGACAAATTGATGCTCCAATTAAAAAGACACGTGTTGGAAGATTGTGTGTTCAAATGATATACTTGAATCAGGGAACTTCATGTCTCAGTATTGATTGCTGATTGGCTGTCGCAAAAAACTAAATTCGATAGATTTAATGATATGAAATCTTGATTTAAATGAAAAAGCGTATTCCACGAACATCTGTAAGATGACCTGAAATGTTAAGTGCCATTTAGTTTTTAACCCAATACATTGTTTAATTCTTGGAGTGTGGTGGAAAAATTAATAATGACCAATTGAAATTAGTTAAGGAAAAAAAATTTTTTTACCGGCAGATAGGTATTTCTAATTATAATAATAATGGATTGTATGGGTTCTTTTGTATGTAAGCAATAAGCTAGTTTTGGAAGAGTCTGTTCATCATCTTAATGTTATTAGTTCACAGAATCACCCCCGTTAAATTATAGTTTTTAAACTTGTAAAATTGCATTGCGGGCTTCTTCTGGTGCTGTCAGAAAAAAATGAATGGAACGTTAGGTAATGGCATGTTACAGAATTAATATTAATTAAGAAATAGTTGTTGATTTTATTTTTGTTTGGGTTTATGCTAAGACAAATTGAGGAAATATTAATATATTAGATTTTATGACAGGTTGTAAAATTATTATTCTCAAATGGGAATTGGATATATATAGGAAAATCGACCCCTCAGATCAAAAAATTGATTTTTAGTAACAATCCTTTTAAAATTGGTTACATATATGTTTTTAATATACAGAGAAAGTATTCCAAGCCCTATATCTCATTCCTCTACTAAGCAAACAAGTTCCAATTTTTTATCCAATTGTAATCCTTGTATAATAGATTAATATTAAGTAAGAAAACTCAAAATAAAAAAATCAGCTGAGAGGTTGATTTTCCTAGTCCAAATCCCAAATGTTGATTTAGTAACAAACTGTATAATCCAATAATTCAAATTCAAATTTTATATGATTTCTAGTTAAACAACTAATCATTTTAAACATACTAATCCAAATATATTGCATAAGAAGATTAAGATTGTTATAAAAGTCAAAGAATTTGTATAAACCAATTTATACTGATTAATTTTACTATTATGAGATTATTAAAATTCTAATTAATTATTTTGATAATAAATATTCCAGTACTTTACTACAAAGTTTGCTAATTTCAATAAATCAATCAATACGAATTTGCTTTTAAAGAATATTCTATAACAATTACTAACATATCACCATCACCACTAATATTATCACAATCACAATCACCCACTACTTTTAAACAATATATAATATGAGAATAATTTCTTAATAGTTCATCACCAACTAGGGCTCAAATTAGTCACTCATAAGTTAAGAATTTAAAAGGGTTGATTTGTTCTGACTTGTGTGAGTCAACTCATCAGTATCTTTAATTAATAACTATTTGACACAATAAAATTATAGGTTAATTGCCTTGATTTTCTTCTTTAACTAGTTCATTAGCTTCATTAATAACATCATCCTCTCTATATCATTAATCTTTTATAAACAATCCTTAGAAAAATAAAACAGCTCTTCAATAATTAGTATTAGTCTCTTAGATGGATCAACATTCCTACATATTTTTCTAGGATTTCTGGTAAAATTGACAGTCTTAAGCCTCTAAAAATTAATGACAACCACATATTACCATTATGTAAATCACAATTGATTAGCCAAATAATTTAAAGATGATTTTTTTTGTAGATAGTCCCTTAAATTTCCTTCTAGAATGTGTTTTAGAATCATTGCATAATTTACATTTTTTGGGGATTTTGTTATACTATAACAATTAACTAACTATCAAAGTTGATTTAATTTTACAATAATTCAATGCCTGAGATTATATATATATGGGGCATGCTGCAACAAAGCCAGACAAAGTGAACATTGGTATTACCAAAGATTTCAGGGATCAAAATTTAGTAATGTGGTTATTAAAATCTTCCATTTGTTATCCTCTTAATATATAGAATTACCTCTATATAAAAATAGTTAATATGAAACTCATTTATATCAGATCTACTATGGAACCCAAGAATTATAGCACCATTAGAAGTATTCTAAAAAAGGAACAAGGTGAAAAAATTGCACCTTACATTTTCAAAATAAATGATACTCAGATGCTGGAAGCTTATCTAAGAAAAGAAAAGATTACTTATGAAATTTACCATGAAGAAAGAAAAATAATAAATGTTAGAAAAAGGAAGCAGAATGAAGATGCATTATTACCTAACAAAAAGCCAAAATCCTTAAAAGAAAAATAACTTGTTTTCTTTGATAGTTGGAATGAATTTCATTTATATAGAGTAAAATACTTCCTCAATCCTTTTAAATTACTTTCTTATTTTCAATCAAGGTCATTTTTTGACTTCAATTTGAGCAGTTTGTTGGGTCTGCTGTTTTCTTAGTCATTCAACCTCAGTTTCAAGTCTTTGAACTTTATCTAATAATTCTTGCCTTTGCTTACTATGCCAATCTTTTGAAACTTCTAAGGCTTCCAAATGAGAACTGATTTCTTCCTTAGCACTGTATAGTTGCTGTTTTAAGTCTTTATTTTGCTGTTCTAATCTACCAACATAACTCTGTGCCATTATTTCTGTTATTGTTGGAGTTTTAACTGGTTCATCTTTCCTTAAATCACAGAAACAATCTATTCTGTTTCTCATAATTCGACCACAATCACTACAATGTGATAGAGTATCATCATCAAGAGCTTTTTTACACTCTATACAGATATAAGCAATATCATTGTAATTATTACTACTTCTATTATAAGATACTATTTTGTAAGTAGCAGTCAGAATTCTTTCTCTTTCAAAAGGGCAGAAGTTACAATTCCATTTGTCCTCTCTCCTTAACTCGCTAACTTGGTATTCTAATTTCATACTATTTGTTCTTTTGTAAGATATAGGCATTAAATTTTTCTCTAGTTATTTCTTTTAATTGACTAGTTTTTTTCTTTAGTTTATTGGTTAGGAGTTTAAATTTATTTTCTTTCCTTGGTAAAACTGGCAGTTCTTGAAGTTGCTTGTCTGCTAAATATTTTTGTCATGCCACAACATTTTCTAATAACTCTATTTTTCTCAAAGCTTTTTCTAAGTTGTCATCTTTTTCTTTGCTTTGTCTTATTCTCCACTGTCTAGCCAATTCAAGAGCATCTAAATGACATTCAGATGTTTCCTCCTCTAATTCTAATGCTTCTTCTAACTCTTGTTTGGTTATCTCTAACTCAGCAACACTTTTTTCTAGAATAGCATTCTTTTCTTTTAGTTCTTGTTTTTCTTGATAAGTAAAACTAAAAATTTCTTCATAATTTTGTGCTTCTTTAGAAAAACTTTGAACAATATTTTCAACAGTGAATTCACTGTTAAAAACAACTCTTCCAATTTCAATTCCATCCTTTTCTGGATAACTTACTCAACCATTGTTAGGTCAAGTGGATCTTTCTAAAGTTCTTAAAGTTACACCAGTATATTCTGAACTCTCAGTAAGACTATGAACTGCATTTCAAATTCTTAGTTTAAAGTTCTCTTCTTTATCACTAATTGTTTTTTTAATGTTTTGATTTCTTCTAATGAGTTTTTATTTGCTTGTTGTTGTTCATTTATAATGTTTACCATGATTTTTTGTTAATTATATTCTTCAATTTTTAATAAATACTTAATATCTTTCTTTTTATAAAAGCATTATTAAGTATATAATTATTTTATTAATATAATAATGAAGTAATAGAGAAAGTTTATTTTTAAATTTTCTATTCATTGTCAGCATAAATTGGTTTTGGACAAGTAATATCTTTAAATTTGTCTCTGACAAATGGGCGAATATTATGATAAAGATATTCTTGTCTTTTGTAATCTAAAGAAGGAGGTGTTAACACTAAAATAGATAAAGCTCTAATTTCTTCAAAAATATCTGCTTTCTTAGTTTTTAATAAATTGAATTCAGTAAAAGGTCCATTAGCAACTCCTTGAACTTTCACTGTACCAAGATTAGATGTTTCAAAAAGAAAATGTTGATATTTCTGTATACTTGGTAATTTCTTAAAATAAATTCCTAAGATGGCTTTAATATCTAAGTATTGAAAACCTTTTCCACTTTCATAACATTGAGCTTTATTCAATCCTGCTGGACTGGACATTTTCACTACATCAACCACATGACCCACACAATCTACTCTTGTTCTTCTGTAGAGTTTTTTAATCAGTCCAAAACTACCATCACATTTAAATTTAGTATGTCCAGGAACCATAAAGTTCAATTCAACACTTTCATAATAACCACAAATTACCAAATATAAATAAAACCAAATTGTTACATTGTTTTTATTTTGTCCCCCAGCATTATCACAAGTAATCTTTAAATGCTTTTCACCCTTATTTGAGGCATACTGCAACAAAACCAGACAAAGTGAACTTAAAAATTTCAGTCATTTTTTCTACAAGAGAAAATTTTTTCTTTATTATATATTTCTAAACCTTATACATTAAAATGGAATCAAATAGGTGGGTGGATTTTCAATTATTTATAATTAGTTTATTTGCAATGATGGACCAGATAATAAGATATTGTGAATAAAATAATGATATAATTTTAAAAATAATTTTTTTCTCATTTTCGAGAAAAATCATCTAAGGCAAGTTGATTCATTCCATATGAAAACTGTGAAGATCGTTTTTTTAATGTTTTGTCTGAAAGTTTTATTAAACACGAATTTATCAACAGCTGTCAAAAAAAGTTATAGTCAGTTAGGAGTCATGTTGCATTGTGCAAATATTAATATCAAAAAGAAAATACTTACTGCCCATTTAATTATTGTCTCATAAAAGTAGACAAAATCTTCGATTTCAGAAAAATCCTGTGGAACAGTTGCATTATCAATTTCAACAAGGTGATAACATCCTATTTTATACATATAATAATATTTCAATTTAAGTTATCATCTTTCAAATATGTGTGATTGTATAAAAAACAAGTCATATACCAGCAAATCGAAGCACATATAGATGCATCTCAAGTTTATAACTAGTTCGCAAAAGACTTCAAATTCTGGTATTATCACCTTTCGTTTTCCTATTCTATCTTTTATGATATTGAAAAACATCTTTTTCAAATTTTTTGCAACCTTCACACGGTCATCTATTTCTTTCTTTTCTCTGACATTATGTGGACAACTCCCTTCAATATATACTAGTTGATACTTGTTGACATCATTTGTGAAACCAATTCCATCGCCTTTTTTGTCTATAGATATTATGAATTGAAGTTACTTCACCACTGACAAGATTTGGTAATAATAATTAGAATGATATTCAGAATTGCCATAAATACAAGAGTACAGGAGGAAATTTATTTACAATGTGTAATAAATGTCAGCACAGTACATCAAAGCAGCTTTCAGGCATGGATATACAAAATCATTTAAATGACACTGCTCTAGAGTCTTTATATTTTGAAGTAGGTTGGAATGTCCAAGAGAAAAAGCCTGTAAACTAAAAAAGCAAAATAGATTTCATTAGTAGTGTTCATTGGTAACAATCTTCTCCCAAAGCATAAGAACAAAAAGTAAACTATATACAAAGTATCAAAAGTTTTTTTTATAATTCTTATTGACATTTGAGTTACTTTGTCAAAACTTTTGATATTCAAGTCATCTAAAACATTTAGCCATTGTCAATATGTCAAGTCCTTGTTGCCAAACAAAAGCATAATATTAATAGAGTACATACAAGTCAAGTAAACATTCATTATAAATATCATGACTCTTACCTGCCCAAAAAATTCTACTAGAAAATCATGTGTTTCATCGGGAATAATATTATCCAAATATTCTAATGATAAAAGGTATTCTTTGTACACATATTTAGGCAACGTTCTTATAAATGAACCTTTTGGTGTCAGATCCATTATATTAGCAATTGCCAAAGGATCCTTATTGTCCTTCTTGTAGTTTTCAAAATTTTCAATAATAACCTTGAAATTCTTGTTGATTGATATTTCTTTACAAATGATTCCCTCAATTTTAACCTAAAAAAATATATTTTATAATTGCCAGAATAAGAAAGAAATAGATGACCGTGTGAAGGTTGCAAAAAATTTGAAAAAGATGTTTTTCAATATCATAAAAGAT